GAACTCAGCCTGACATTGTTACAATGGCCTGGAGCAGGGAAACTCCGAGAAAGGAGGACGAAGTTTGTTTTAATTAGCCCGTAGAAACAGCTTTCTGGGCTTGGCTCAGTCCCTTCAGACCCGGCGGTCACACGCAAACGCACGCCAACTTACCGGGCCGCCAGCTACCGTGGAACCAGGGCTGCTGGCGTTGTTCTCCTCGGGATTCTGGGGGGCTTCTTCCGGCCCCCGAGTCACGAGAATTCTGAAGTGCTGTTGCCCCGCATTTTGATCTTGCCTGATCTTAAACGTGCAGCCCTGCCCCTGTGGCGTCCTTTCCACCGAGTTGGTCCTGTGGATTTCGGGAGCCCCCCTGCGGCCCCGAGGCGGCGTCTCCGGGTGGCCCCGCTCTTCTGTGGGGCTCCCGCGCTCTGCGCGGGGCTGCGTGGGGTACGAGGTGCTCCTCTCCAGCCGGATGCGGGGGTACCTCACCAGCCTGTCCCCCTTCGTGCCGGTGAAACCGAAGTTGAAGTCACTGCCCGGCCCCGGAGCGCCCGGTTGCGGCTGTTGCAACTGGAAGACGAAACAGCGCTTCCCGGAGCTTCCAGAAGCATCCGGAACGTGCTGCAGGGACCAGCGCCTGGGCTCGGGCGCCGAAGGGCTGCTCTGGCCGTCGGCCCCGAAGGGCGTCAGCCTCACCTGGCGCACGTCGGCGCTGGAGGCGCGGTGCTGGATCTGCAGCCCCCCGCCGCCCTCGAGGCCCCGGGCAGCCCTCGGCTCGGCCTCCTCGCGGCCGTCGCAGGCAGCGGGGCCCGGTGCTCGGCGGCCACACATGCCATTAAGCTGCGGGCCCGGAGCCCAGGCCGCCCTTGGGGGCGAGCTCCCGGGGGTCTTGGGTTCCGGAGGCTCCGGGCCACCGGCCCGGGATGCCGGGCCCGCCTCGCCGTCCGGGCCCTCGGGCAGCGCACCCGCGTCGGGGGCCCCGTCGGTCGCTTTGCGCTGCAGGGAGATCTGCACGGACGAGCTGCGGGTGGGCCGCGCGTCGAGCGGGCCCAGGAGCTGCGGGATGAACATGGACGTGCTGCGCTTGAGCGCGCCCACGGCCTCCTGCAGGCCACCGCCGTCCTCCGCGCCCTGTTGGGCGAAGGGGTGAGGGCCGCTCCTCCGCGGCAGCGTGTGGAATGCCATGAAAAAGTCCTCTTCCCTCTCCTGGTCTAGGATCTCGGACTCGGGGGCTGTGTTGCTGCGCCCAGCGCCAAAATGAAACCGAAGCCGATGGGCCATGGTGCCCAGGGGGGCAGGGAGGGAGAGGGCGAGCGGCGACAAGCCCGGCACTGCCAGAAGTCAAAAACCGAAGACACAAACTCCAAGAAAAAGTGTCCCATCTGCCAAAGCGTTAGCACTGCGGCACAAGGAGCGACAGATAGCAGAAATAACCCAAGTGGCAAGCGGCATTCCAGGCATGATTGGGTAAGAGCAAAAAGCTCTCTCATCCACACTGTGACAGAGGGTAGGATGGTCAGAACCACATGACCGCGGTCTCCCCCTCCAAGGCCAGCTTCTGCACTTACTGGAGTTTTCCCCCCTCTCGCGCTCTCAGTTTTTTTTTTTTTTTTTTTTTACACACAGCAAGAGCCTGAAACAGCACCTTCCCAGCTGCTGCTTTTCCATCAGACAGGAGTGGCCCCAGCAGGGAGCTCTCACAGCTGACTAAGGCAGCAAACACAGTCCAAGCCATGCTGCTATAAATCTAGCCCGCATCAAATTCACGGGACAGTTCTTTCCGAACGAGGCAGGGCAGTCGGACTCTCTAACCAATGCCGGAGAGCCGGCATTGAACACATGCGCACACACCGTATTTCCCCCACCTCCCCTAGCAAACCAAAGAACGACAAGGAAAAATGCTCTGGCTGCAAGAAAACCCTTTCACAAGCATCCGATATTATGTTTCTGTTATTTATGATATCACCACACTACCACGACGGAATGCAAACTAATAAAAGGTACTATAAATATGATTCCACACCCCACAGAATGAGTGTCCCTTTAATGCTAAATAATTAGACCATGATCTACAAGTAACAAAATAGCTAAGTACAGGGAGGCACAACTAGGGTCAGTTAGCTGTCTGCCTACTACTATATTTTTTCATTTAATAGGGGTGTGTGTGTGTGTATGTGGATCTCACTCATAATACGACTATCAGACATGGAAGTCCCAGAGAAAAGGAGCCCAGCTGGAGAAAACATTCTCTCCTATATGCCAGACAGGAGAAAAAACCATCACCACACCCACCCCCCCATCCCCACCAGAAAAGGAAGGATAATTGAGGAAGGGTGTGAATGTGGTTTTCGTAGTGAGTTAACTTAAATACCATACAGCAAGAAGGCTGCCCAGAGCTGACTGTTTTCCAGGGAGAAGTCAGCAATATTATCATAAGCACGGAATCTTACCATTTTTGTGAAGGGCCAAAAAGGACCCGAGTAATAAAGGTCCACGTTCAAAAAACTGTCATCAGATTTGTAGTCAACTTGGATATAGTCTCTGTGTTTCAAGCTTACTGTTTTCCATGATCCAGAAACACATCAGTGATTTAACACAGAAGCTTATTTAGGAGGGAGTAAAAAAATGGGAGGGGAAAATACCAAAAGCTGCAGAGAGTGACAAAAAGTTTATTTTAAAATCCACAAAGCATGACTTTGTCAACAGCTCTAGAATTGAGGGTGTGGAGGATTAACCCCATGTTTACATACGTGCAAACCTGTTTTCCAAAGGCATGTGTTTTAAATGCCAAAACTGATCTCTATGAGAGAAATGGAAGCTAGTTCGTTGAAATGCTCAAACTGCCAAGTACCACCATAGTCCTGTATTGTCTTAGCTGGATGAAGAGCCAACAAAGCAACAAACACCACCACCAGTTTTCAGTGAATGGTTAAAAAACAACAACAACAACAAAACTCCATAAACAGCCTGGGGCAAAGCTAGGTATTAGTATCATAAAACACAATGTTTCAGATAGTGTGTATTCACACATGATTTCTTAGAGCTCTGCATTCAAAGCCCTTTTGGGTTTGGAAGACTAGTTTGGGATCCATGGAGAGGTCATCTCAACAGCAGTCATTTTTTAGTAATCGAAATGGAAACAAAAAAAAAATTTTTTTTTACAGCAAATTTCTCTTAGTAAAAAGAAAATAATGAATTACAACACGTCTGACAAGAGGCATTTTCCCCTTAAATCTGACCCTCTCCACCTTGGAAACGTGTTGTCATACTCAATAAATGAGAGAATAAGGATTAGTCTGTATCAGTCTTCAGGGATTGACTTCTACTCAACAGTGCCTGATTCAGTATTTGCTGGGTAAGAGATGGAGTGCTAAGAACTGCACCATCATCAGAATCTCTCATTCAATTTAACAAGAAAATAACTTCATACACACAGAAGTGATTTAGTTATTTGGTACTACTCATTATCACCTAAGGTATAAAACGCTGAGTTCAACGTGAAGCCACCAAGACCCCGTATATTTTAACAGAAAAGGTGTCAGTACAGTAGGCCATAATCTGTTGGCTTTCCAATTTGGAGAATAATACCAAGCCCAGGAGATTAAACTACACTCCTGAGTTCCATAATAAGCATAAAAGGCCTGGCTATTCACCACCACTGGCCTGAGGACTTAGGAGAAGAGCAGGTTCCACCGGGTGCTGTGTTTAAATTATGTAAAGGCTCCAGACCTCTCTTGTTTCATGTGCAAGGACACAGACTTAAATGAGATGTATTATAAGACTCCTCCAAAACTATTATATTAAGTTTAAGCTACTCAAAAGACTTGGGAGTTTCAGCTGAAATCAGCAGCAAGAAGGGTTTATAAGAACACTCCTTTTTGTTTCCAGATTTTATTTAAATTCTAGTAAGTTAACAGACTGGGTAATATTAGTTTCAGGTGTAGAATTTAGTGATTCATCACTTACGTATAAGGCCCAGTGCTCATTACATCAAGTGCCCTCCTTAATGCTCACCCACCACCTAGACCCTCTCCCGCCCACCTCCCCTACAGCAACCCCTCAGTTTGTTCTCTATCATTAAGAGTCATTTCATGGTTTGCCTCTCTTTTTTTTTTCTTTCTTAATAAGAACACTCCTTTTAACCAAGAAATATACACAAGTTTCATGAAAAGTAAATCTGGATACAACTAACAGAAAACTTGAGAGTTTTAATACCACTTCTGAGAGTTCCTTGAAGGCTTACACAGAACATAATAATATTCACATTCATAGCTGGAACACTTGGTTTGTGGGTACCTGATGAATACACTCTGGTTAGCTGATTCTGCCAAACTGCTTTAAAGCCAGACGTGATGCTGAAATTCCATTTTTTAAAATGAAATCTTAGTTATATGTATTATATAGACAGACAGATATATAACATGTCCAAATCTTATCTATCAATGTATATATAAAATGTTTCTATATGAGTTTTATGCCTCAGGCATATCTTTGGTTCTTTAAAGGTACTTTCCACAAACTTCCCTTGAGAAAGTACCATTTTTAAAATACAGCTTAATTTTGCCTGCTAAATATAGATTCACTTTTTGCTATATACTGTTAATTAGTTTTTTGTTTTCCCAAAGAGAATCACCACAGATTCACGACTGAATGGGTGAAAGGACTATAGTCTGGCTTATAGTAAGGTTTGTTTACATGAGTAATGGCTTCTTTAAAGGTTTGCCTACCACTGCGTACTCCCAACATAAGAGCAGAGGCATATGGCTTGATGTATCACTAGTGTGATTTTCACTAATATCGACTATGATGAAAACATACACACATACAAATAAAATTTCTGTCCTATCCATACAAATGTTTGTTAGAATCATAAAACAGTAATAGGCAAAGAGAGTCTTGGGGGGGGGGCATATGTACCGGCAGACGTACAACACAGATAACAGAGTTCTGAAAGATGCTGCTTTAAAATTCAGTTTTTAAAAAATGAAGCAAAAAATCAAGAACTGGGACCCACTTACCAATCTGTTTTCATCAAATACTTCAAACAGGAGTCTGTGATTAGACGGGTTTACCTATAAAGGGCACAAAAACAGTATTTTCAAAAATGGGCAAAAATAACTCGGATAAAATAAGAGACATCGAATGAAATGCTTTATAATGCACCCAGATCATCTGTGTCATCTAAATAATTAACCTGCTACTCTTCTAGAAATCCTGTGTCTATTAAATCACATTTTCTATTATTGATTTCTAGATTATTCTATGCCTAATATTTAGGCATAGAAGAATAAGATGCTCTTGGCTGCAAAGAAAATTTTAAATAGTTTTAGAGAGTTTCTAAATCTCCCCTACAAAAGGTATGGAGACCAAGGTGACATCTTCACATAGGTCTGTGCCTGAGGAAATCTCTTAGGTCTGTAATTATAATGAGAATAGCAGTGACAAAAATGAAGAGCACAGTAAAAGGAGCTATTGACTATTGTATGCTTATTTTGGGGGCACTATCTCCTTATTAAATATCAAAAACACATGACCTCATCTAATCCTGACAGCAACCTATGGTGTATAACTGTCCTCCTAATTTTGCAAATGGGGAGCTGAGACTCTGAGGGTGAAGTGACCTGCCCAGGAGCCCGTAAGTATTATGTGGGGCAACTGGGAGGCCCCAACCAGGTCCGACCTGCTTGTCTGCAGAGCCCACACTTTGAAATTAGAAAGAACAAAGAAATCAAAGATGTCCCCATTTCCAGCAACTGTGGGGTCAGAGCTCCTGGGGCTTTCAGTGTCTTTTTGCTTCTTTCTATTTACCAAAACCTCACCAAAATGGCAGGAATCATCATTCAGGCTCAATTATCATTTATTAAGTACCAACCACAGGGGATACCTGGTAGATAAGCTTTCTGATTTACATCATTGCATTGAAACAACCCTATCAAGTGAGAACTTCTCGCTCCTTCGTGAGAGAGAAGGAATCCACAGCGAGTGTCTGTCTTCAGGTGGAGTTCTAAGGTCACAAAGGTGGTAAGTGGTAGAGCCAGAGATGAGATTCAGGTCTATTGCTTCACCATGAAAAGTGAAACAAAATGAAGTTTGACCGTAGAGCATGGAGCGAGTCATGGGCTTCTGGCCCCCTGGCCTGCCCTCTGCTTAGTGACAGAGCAAGCAGATGGACGGGGATCTAGCTAGGATCTGTCTGGAAGCTCTGTGAAGGTTGTGCTGACCAATGCATCCACACAGGCCCTGGTAGGAGCAGCACACAGTAGGCACTCAATCGAGATTTGTGGAATGAATAAAACAAAGGTCCCCCCCCTTTTTTTTTAAAGTAAAAAAAAAAAAAGTTTACAAACTGCTATAGCCAAGTTGACAAAATCTTGGATCACTAAAATTTACATAAACGTGGCCCAGGTGTTAAAGTGAGAGGAGTCTAGGTCATTTGGAGTTTTACAAGTGGAAAGCTGTATTTGAGACTTAACTAAGGGCCAATAACATCTATCTGCCCCCATTAGCTTTTCAGTCCTTCATGGAGTAATTTAAAATGCATCTGGTAGAGGCTATACATGGGATCCACCAAGTATTAAAATATCATGCCATATTTCAGCTCTGAACATAACAGAAAAACAGATATTGTAGATAATGACCGAAGTTAGGAGCACATAAAATACTACTGTGATTGAAAGGAAGAAATCAGGACCGACGGTAATGGGTCTAATGGTAGTATTGTTCATTGGGAATCTACACTAATCTGAAGATCTCATCTGGAGCATTTCTGGAGGTAAAGAAGTTTTTAATACCACAGCTAAGGAGGCAAAGTATATTCATTTTGAAGAGGGGAAAATGAAAACTTTCTCTCCAACAGATGAGCAGTTTAGTATTTCCCAAATTTTCGTACAAAAAAATACAGCAACCACCACAAAAACTCCTTCAATAGGAATCTCCATTAATTCACACAATTGTCATTTCTACATATAGCTCTTCTAGGTGTTAAACATCCAAGGTTGAGGAAATTTTACCCAATTCAGTGATATTTAAAGTCCAAAAATAGTTTTGTATTACACTTGTACACGCACATGTGTTTGAATTACAAAACTCTCCCTTCCTAACTAGAACATTACTGGTAAGTTTTAGGCTTCTTTTTAATCATGTTGCCTCTGTTGCTTTATTTTACCTCTAAAATCATTCATAACCCGTGTCTCATAGAAATAATTAAGCTATTGTTTTAATTATATTTTACCTTATTTTTAAAGAAAAATTTGAGTAGAAAAGCTAAAATATGGTACTTGGGTAACTCTTTTTACTTCTCTAAAACACCCCCAAAATGAAACAAGTCCAGATTTTGCTACTACTAGGCAGTCTTTGAAAACTTATGCCACATGAGGTGGCTACCCGGCCATTTCTCAAAAGAATTTCACATAAAAATTTAACAGCTTTTACTCAGTATGAATCTATTGTGATATTAACCTAGTTATAACGGTTATTATCAAAAAAATGAAAAACTTACTCTAAAATAAAATTCTTCATTCCACTTTGGGTTCAGCGTCTGGAAGAGAAATTATCTTGTAATATCTTTTACAGTCTTTGAAACATAACAGTTACTAGTACAATGCAGTCCATGTATTTGCTTGAACATTTTTTTTGTGATTAATAGCTAAGAGATATTCAAAATGGCAATAAAAAGCATTTAGTCAATTATTTGAAACTATTCTATAAACCAGACAGGAAGGGATGTATTTATGAAACAGGTAATTCATAGATAAGAAACCATAAACTGCATGCTATCAACCAGAAGGAATGATGTCAGGGACCTACAAAGAGCCATCATCATGAAAAATATGAAGATATTCTTCAAGAAATTCACATTCATATGATGATTTCATCAAGAAGAAAATGAATTCATTTCTCTCGACCTGCCACAAATCTATTTCAGAGAGTAAGGAAGCAGGTGGGGAAAGGAGAAAGTATTCACTATTTATATAAATACTGAAATCTGAAGAGTATTTTATAAAGAACAATAATGACGATCAGATTATAGTTCATGAAAAAAAAACCCCGCCAGTTATAAATCCGAAGTGGATTTTTCCCCCAAATAACTGGTGTTTAAAATCTTGACCTCCCTATCCATTCCTGTCCATCCATCCACCCATCTTCATGCCAATCTAAATATCTATCTCACAAGGACATGGAACAGATACTTTTGTCCTCAGTACGGACAAAAGATGGGCTGCCAAGCATCCTCTGAAACTAAGATGAAATAGATACTGTGCAAGAATACATATATACATGTTAATGCATTTGGACATGCATAATACTCTTAAATAAATACATCCCTCAAAAATCCTACGTACCTACGTACAAACTGAAAAATCACCACCTCGCCAAAGGCTACAGGTATTTTTTAGGCTGAACCGTATTTGCCTTTCTCAATGGAATTCCTTTAACATACTAGTCCACAAAGAAGCAAAGATAGAACACAAATGCACCCAAAGAAACAACACACACAGAATTCACATAACACTGAACTGGCATTTCTAAAAAATCAGCACTTTGCCGGCCCACAACTCAAGAGGGACTCCAATCCGAAAAGGATGGGGCTTCATACTTTTGCCTGTGAATGGAGCCGGGGATACAATGAGTGAGGAGAAGCGGGGAGACAGAGTCGGGGGGGGGGGGGGGGGGGGGGGGGGGGGGGGGCGGGGGAGCGGGGGGGGGGGGGGGGGGGGGGGGGGGGGGGGGGGGGGAGGAGAAGGGAGAGGTACCAGGCGGGCAGCAAGAGGGGCAAGGCAGGACCTGGCCTGCCGGGGGCGGACGCAGTCCGGGACGCGGGCTGCCCAGAAAGGCACGGGGCAAGAGGCAAATGACAGGTGAGGACCGACGTGAGCCCGCAGCGCGCACGAAGGAACAGGCGGCCGGCCACGAGGCAGGAGGACGACAGCAGTTCGGAAAGCAAACCGGGCGAGCGCGGACAGCACCGAAATACTAACCGGGAGGCTGCGAGCGAGGCAGAGCAGGCGCGCTGGGCGGGAGAGGAGGGAGGCGGCGGCCCGCCCCGGGCAGGAAAAGCCTTGTCGGTAGCCCCCGTCTCAGCTGGGGGGGGGGGGGGGGGGGGGATGCTGTGGTTCTCGGCTCCCTCCGCGTCCGGGTGCCCAGGTCTCCCCCCGGTTCGCCTGCGCTGCAGGGCGCCGGCCCTCCCAGGCGGGGCCCCCAGCTCGCTGCCGGCTGAAGCAGGGACAGCGCCTGCCACCCGGAACAATGGCCTCTGTGCCTTGCGGAGTCCTCCCCACTAATCAAAACACAGGCTCTTGTTTGCAAAACAGATCTTTAATGCCACTCACAAAGCCAGGTGGAGGACGAGCTACATTGGCTGTTCCTAACATAGAGTGACCCGGTCAAAGGAGCTCAGGTGTCTGCACAATGGCAGTGAGAGTTAGCAATTTTTAAAGCCATCCTGTTCGCCAGGAAATGCTTATCACACAAAGTATTGGACTATCTGTCCCCTAAAGGTGTCAGGAAAATAGTAATTAATAAATAATACTGAAGCACAGATAAAAACAGTATACTTTGGATAAAAAACCTACATCTTCAATAAATGCCCCAAATATGGAGTAAATACTTAGATTTGCATACACACATACAGGAAAACATGGTGATAGATGAATTAAAATATAATTATGGAAACATCTTTAATGAAATCATGTAATGATTTAGAAAACAGATACACACAAATGTATAATTTCATTAATATTTTCATTTGTTCTCATGTAACTAAGCAAAATATTTCGCTTCCTTTGGTAATATTTGTTTCAAGTTAAACCATACCTTTTGTGTCTACGAATTGCACAAACCACTCCATTCCATTAAATGTATTTTAAATGTATTCATGAAAAACAACAAGCCAACAAGAATGAATCCTTGTCTTACTGTATTCTTTGCAGGGAAAAAGAACTGCTAATTTTAAGAACACTTATTTTAAGAATATTGCTTTTACAATCATTTAACTGAAAGCCAGAATGGATATCCTGTTCAATTTATGGATTTAATACTGGGAGATGTTTAAAATTAAAATACTGCCAAACTTAAAATACAAACTTCTACGGCGCCAAAGTACTTAATTTAATTGGATTAAATTATGACTTACATGAAGTTTAATTAAGGATGGACACCTACCTTTTTAATTGTTTTTGTCTGTACCAAAGCGAGTTCTCTATTCTCATCCGCTACGTACAATGAAAGTTTCACATACGGATCACTGTAAGAAAATATTTCAGATTTAATGAGATTATACTTTTCATTTAAAAAATACAAAAAGAAAGACAAAAACCTAAATGAAAATGCAAATATATCAGTTAATGCCCCAGTTTATGTAAATTCCACAAACTAAGCAGTAACATTTTCAACATGCCTACTAAGGAAATACACAAGAAAAGTTTCTATCAACCAGAGTCAATGATACTTACCTAAAAGCAAAAATCTCTCTCAAATAAATCTTTTTAAAAGGGGGGGGGGCACCTGGGTGGCTGAGTCAGTTGAGCATCCAACTCTTCATTTCGGCTGAGGTCACGATCTTGGGGTCTTGGACCAAGCTCCATCAGGCTCCCTTCTTGGTGGGGAGTCCACTTGTCTCCCTCTCCCTCTGCCCCTCCCCCTGCTCACCCGTACTCTCTCAAATAAATCTCTAAAAAAGAATAAAAGCAAAAGTATCATGAAACATATACTAACTTTATTTTTTAGTGGGGAGGGACAGAGGGAGAGGGAGAGGGAGAATCTCAAGCAGATTACATGCCCAGCACAGAGCCCAACAGGGGGCTTTCTCATAACCTGAGATCATGACCTGAGCCGAAATCAAGAGTCAGACACTCAACTGAGCTACCCAGATGCCCCTACACTAACTTTAAAGATAACTAATTCAAAAGAACTAATCTACCATATTTCTTTTCCAAAACACAGATTCTGAAAAGATTAGGCATACAAAATGTTTATCAGACTAGCAAAATCTAGCCAAAAAATTTAGTTTGCATCTTATTTATATTGATTTCCACTATATAAAAATGACTGTTCCTTTAATGAAGGTAAAACAGGCATTGTTCATCTAAACCAACACTTACCATTTTACAGATTAAAACAAAAAATCAAAACCCAAAGAACTAAAGTGCATGAAATCAAGAGAGATTTGCACAATGTTACTGATTTCAGTAAAGGCTAGATTAACTGAACACTTTTAGCAAGAAGTATATTAAAAGGACTACTCACTGTAGACTTTCTAAGAATCTAAGTCCACTCACATATTCTAGTCTTACTTAAGCCTGGGATACCTCAAGTCTAGTCAAACTATCACTCTTTAAGGGTTTAAAATCCAGGTTCTTCTGTTTCACACTGGAAATCCTGAAAATCATAGATAGGGCTCTCAGGTATTCAACTCCTAAATTTTCACTCATCTAAATTACCTATAACTGATGATTTATTTCTACCCAATTTGAAAATTATCCTTTAGTGGATATGCCATGACTATTAACCCTTATTCTGCAACTTTAGGGTATTTCCAAAGATTACAAAGAGCATCATAAATGCTTTAGTTTTTTTTTTTAGATTTTATTTATTTATTTGAGAGAGAGAGAGAGAGAGAGAGAGAGAGAGAGAGAGAGAGAAACAGCATGAGAGGGGAGAAGGTCAGAGGGAGAAGCAGGCTCCCCGCTGAGCCGGGAGCCTGATGTGGGACTCAATCCCAGGACTCTGGGATCATGACCTGAGCCGAAGGCAGTCGCTTAACCAACTGAGCCACCCAGGCACCCATAGATTGATTTTTATTTAATACCTTAATAAATATGCCATGAATCCTTTGAAGAAAGGGGAAGGTGTGATAAAAGTAAAAGTCTGGTAGTAACAGGACTCAATATCCAAAACAAATTGTCAGTGAAAAATATTGTATATATAGTATTTATTACCCATAAAATGCATCTTAATGGAAGCTACAACACATCTTCCACACACACAAAAAAAAGAAAGAAAAACCAGCAACAGAATTTGCTTGGTTATACTCTATTATCAGTAAATGTTTTTAACATTCTGGTTTAAAGAAGGTAGTCAATTCTTTGCCTCTTATCCATAAACTATCGATATTATTTGATTAAAGAACATCAAACCCAATGTACCTACTTCTCCTTATTTGGACACTCTCAGACTCATAATAAAGATGAATCTAATCTAGGCTTAAAGACCCCAAGAACACCTTCCTAATTAGAACCACGGTCTGGGTGATAAATCAGAAGTCAATTTCTAAGGTTAGAAGCTCTCAGACTTCAGCGTATCAAAACTACTCGGGGAAGGGGGTAGTTGAGACACAGATTGTTGGGCCCCAAACCCAAAGACCCCCCCACCAAAGATCCAGTAAATCTGGGGTGGGACCCTAGAATTTGTATTTCTAATAAAGTCCTGGTGATGCTGATGTTCTTGATCCAGGGACCACACATTCAGAACCACTGTTCCAGGTAGTATTTGAAAAGAGTATTTTTTAGCTATAGAAACTAATTTTCTATTTCTAGCCACCAAGCTATTGCTAAAAAAAGCTCAAGGTCTGGTATCTGTTATCTCAAAAACAGGCTCTGAGCATGCCACAGAGATGTGTGTGTGTGTGTGTGTGTGTGTGTGTGCGTGTGTGCGCACACACAGTTCTGTATTCTGGAGAACACCATAAACTCCGCCAACTCGTTTTCATGGCCCTTGGCTATCATGGCTACTGCCTATGACATAACTGCAATAAAGACTAAAGCGTTTGCTTTAATAGAATACACACATCCTTCTACTAACTGTTTATTTGCTTCGCTTTGAATCCCCCGAATAGTTCACAGTGAGTGACACATGCAGTTGGGAGTTGAGAGTGGGGTCTCTGAGTGGGACAAGGTCTCCCAGCTGTGATATGAAGGCATGTCTGAGCATGTCATGAGTGCTCATCCAGGTCGAGGTAGGTACTAGGGTGTCGGCATGAAAGATCAACCAGGAAACTCCCTGGAAGAGAGTGCAGCATGGAGAGAGATCCAAAAGTGTGTGAACTGATAAAAGGAAGGTAAGATGTCAGTACAAGAGGAGGGAGCGTAGGACACAGGATGAGCTGGCTGGTGACAAGACAGTAAGTTCAAGGGTGGTAGGCGGTGGGGAGGGAGGGGCAGGACAGTCACCCAGACTGGTCCCAGGTTCTTCCTCCCTTTCTGATGGAACAGCAGTACCATTCACATCAACAAGTAATTACTGAGCACCAACCATATTCCAAGGACTCTGCTAGGAGCAAATACAAGAGCCACTGAGCTGGGGAAAGGAGTGAGCAACAACAAAAAATGATTAAAACAACAAAGGCCATTAATGGGCATTTATGAATCGCCCCCACTTCACTCAGCGGACGGAGTGAGGAGGATGGCACTTTCCCATTTCGGCAGGGTGAATGCTAGAGCGTGACGCTGAGATACGGGACAGGGTGCTGAGCATCAGAAAATGAGGAGGAAAACGCCAGAGCAGCCGGAACAATAATCAATACTAATAATCAATACTAATAATCAATACTACCCCAACTGTGGGCACAACTGGCACAAGCACCACCAAGCACCGCAAGCCCAGCACCCAACCGCCATTAAGCACCCAGTCTGTGCCAGCACACGGGAGATACGCAGTATCTCCCTGGATCCCCAGTGCAAGCTTACAAAGTCGGGACATTTTTTTCAGATGAGAAAGTGAGAGAACTCAAGCCACTTGCCCAAGGTGAAACAGTAAGCAGGGGAGCTGGGAGGGGATGCAGGCTGCTTGCTCCAGAATCCAGCTCTCCCCAGAGAGCGCACTGCAGTCTTGCTGCTGCATGCTACCGGCTGACCACCAACAGAGCTGGCTGGAAGGAACGTCTAGGGGCAGGAGTTCCTAACATTCTGCCAAGCTGGAAAACATTTTGTACCGAGACTGCTATTATGACCTAATTTTTATCTTTGCTGCTGTAGTGTCTGGAGGATGATCAAGACGCCTGGGCTGAGTGTCTACCTTTAGGGAAGGCCACGCCTCGAGATCTTATCTTCTCAACACCCCCAAATAACTAGCTGTATACCTCGGACAAGTCACTTTAACACACTGAACCTGAATTTTTGTTATATCTCCAAAATAAAGGGATGAGATTCAATCGGTGGTTTTCAAACTGCATACTCTACAGAGCCTTACTTCTGCATTAACTATCTTGGGGAAACTGCAAGCTACCATTTACCCCTTCGGCTGTTTTATATATTGGGCTTCCATGTTAGAATTTGGGGGGAGGGGGGCAGGGTTCCGTAATATAAAAAAAAAGTTTAAGGGGCACCTGGATGGCTCAGTTGGTTAAGCGTCTGAGTCTTGGTTTTCGGCTCAGGTCATGATCTCAGGGTTGTGGGATTGAGCCCTGAGTCGGGCTCTGCACTCAGTAGCAAGTCTGCTTGAGATTTTCTCTCCTCCTGCCCCTTACCTCCCTACCAGTTCGCATGCTGTCTAAAATAAATTTAAAAATCCTTAAAAATAAATACAAGTTTTAAAGCTATTGAACTACATGATCCCTTTCAGTTAGCATATTCTGAATCTCAGAACAATTCAAACTCACTTCTCATCACTCATTTTAACTACAGCCTGATCCATCCTAAGTAAACACAGCTTGACTACCTAAAGATACAGGAGGAATAGGGAATAAAGCCCTAATCTCTATTAACAGGTTTTCTCTGTCAGATGATAAAGGGTAAAAAGCTCACAGTTTTGGGTATGTGAAATCACTCTTGATCACCACCGGGCTGAAATTTTCCAGTACATGTTACCAGCTTCTAACGAACCTACCTGCTGGGAAAAACATAGGGGCATATGTACACGTATACTTGTGCATGTGAGTCTAGGGCAAGGAAACTAAGGCTCTCCGGGTTACACCACCACCCAAGCATTTAGAAGCTGGTGGTGAGGTTTCCTGTCCCGGGATGGCCTTCATTTCTGAATACAATGTTCTGCAGGAGTGGAGAAAGGGAAAGAATTCAGTTTCCAGAGGCTTTTTCACCCCTAACTCCAATAAAGACAACAGTTGTGGCGGAACCTTCTGCCCTCTGAAGTTCTACCTCTCAGACCTTCAACACATCCTGTACCTTTGCTACAGAAGGCCAACTCAGTCCTGAGGTTAATGCTTAGTTAAGACATACCTCCCTACTCCTGGACCACTGGGAAGCTTAGGAAAGACACAGAAGCAGCTCCTCAGAAGGTTCCATTACGGGG